AGAGACAACTGTGGGGTGTGATTGTCATGTGGTTTTAAATCTGTCAAATAAAGCCTGGCAAATGCACATTTATGTACACTCATGAAAAAAAAGAAAACAATGACAGCTATACACGGAAGTGTTACAACATTATGATATAAGTAGGCTACTGTTACTGTTGAAGGTAAAACTTCCTTGATCTAATTCTGGAAAGGGACCAGGAATTACGCCAAATGTCAAAACGCAAATGACATCCCAGCCCCTTATCCAAAAACAAATCTCACAGGGACTACACTGCACTGTTTTAGTTTAACCCTAATTATGTGGTTCTTTAATGCTAATCCAGCAATCCTAACTCACATTACTAAAAGTCTTCCTCAATATGTAAATGGAAATTTTTAAAGTCAAAGCCTCGCAAATAATGTGCAGGGTCTTTTTTCAAAACCCTTACACTTATTATTCAAGTAAATGTTCTTTATTAAAAAAGTGTAATCTTTCTTTACTCCTCACTCAATCTTCTCTCTGCAGGTAAGGTGGTAAACATCTCTTGGGAGCTCCATATCCTCCGGTGACTTCCTGCTGTGTATGCCATCGTCATGACATCAGCTTCACTTGGTGAATCATCCCGGGATTTTGCGCATGTAGGTGTGAAAACAAAACTTTCACGCCCTCCATGTAAAGACTGCAACACAGGTTTAATTAGGATGATTAAAACTCTCTCGTATGGGAAAACACTAAACCCACTTTACACATTAAACACTGTTTGCAGGTTCAGTGGAGTAGGAAACTGCATTGTGAAAAATGCTGGATAAAGCAAGATGGTGTTGTGCAGAGGGTGATGCTTTTTATACACAGGAAGTGATGTCTTTGTTGAAAATGAAAAAATATATACGTAAGGCATGTGGCTTTAGAAAGAAGTGACGTTACCACAACTCTGTAGCCCTCTTCTCATCCCTGCTTCAGGCCGTCTGCTTGAAGCTACACCGGCCACTGGCTGCTAACAGGAAATGAGAATTTTCCTTCCTTGAATTTTGTAATCTGTCTTTCTTGAATCTCCACAATCACCACAAACAAAGGAGACTTCAAATGCCATCAAGGTCAAAGGTCAAATAAATACATCACACAAGCTAGTGTCTGGAGACAAAACAAAGAGCAAGGAAATAGCTAACGGCTGGCAAACAGGCACAGTGAGGCTCGGTGCCAAAGTCAGTTAGAGAGGCGTGCCGTCCCCTAAGGCAGTACAACAGCCAACTATTAAAAACAGACTCATTCACTCTTCCTCACATGAACACACACAAACAGGAGACTTTTATTCTGTATTTAATCTTTAATTCTGACCAACCAATCAAAGAAACCCCACAGATAAAAGTATCTGTCTTTTCTGCATTTTCATTTTATCTGCATTAAGATATGTATTAGAAACAACCTGACCTGACTATTAGTATAATATTAGTTTTTTGGTCATAATTTCTGAGTTACTTAACAGCCTGCACACAAATCAGCCTGAATATGAATTATGAGATAAGCACCAGCTTCTGCCCGCAGTACAGACATGGTTTGGTGTTATGGGACAACCAAATAGACCCAAAGAGACACACACACACAAACCACAGGGTCATAGGCTAAAATAAACAGCTGCCATTCCTTAACTGTGATTCCTCCCCTGAGCGTCCCTCTGTTTTTGTTCAGTTTTATGTAGACTGTGCAGCTTTTCAACTTTAGTTATCAGCCACAACACTGCCAACAAAGAAAGAAATGTGTCCCTGCAAGTCAGAGGTGAAAGTTGAGCTGAGAAGACAAAGCGGAGCCATCCAGTCTCACATTCAACATTCAGTCTGAAATGTAGAAACTACTTCCTCCCACACAGTCTAGGTCAAAGGAGACTGCCACAACCATTTTTTTGTGGGATCTTTTATTTTAAAAATCAAAAATTGCATTTTTGCTGCTTTTTCCATGTGTTCACATCCCAGATTAACAAGATTCATAGAATTAATTATTAATCTGAGAATGATGGTCATTTTAAACCCAATTTTTTCACCTTTTTCTGCTTTGTACCTCTTAGTTTAACCTCAGCAGCCCAAAGCAACCCCCTTGTATTTCTTCTCTGATCATCCCTCCACCTACTATTTAAATTGCACCATCTGGGACCTCTGTGACAGGGGACTTTTATCTCTCTTGTCAGTCAAATACGTTGTCTTGTTAACAGTTTCCAGACTCCCCCGTACACTCAGCAAGCCGGTCGAACAAGAGAAGATAAACAAGTTTACTCCTGGTCTTAAGCAAAAAATCAAGACTAATTCAGTTCACAGTTAATGACACCTGCGCCTCACCACAAGCATCAGTCCAGATCACGGGGACATTTGCTCCCGCAAGAGCGGGACTGAGTGCATATTTTAAGTTAACACTTTTAATAAAGGAGAGTGATTTTACTTTGTGGTTAAATCAAGCACCAAATACCTTTCAGTCTTACTAAATCATTATCATCATTGATGCGTGTGACAATAAAAAAAATGAAGGTTAGCAAATTGTTTTTGTTTAAATAAAAGTTACATGTAAGAATCCTACATTCAAATTTTCCTTGTGAACAGTACAAAGGAATTAACATTTAATTAAAAGTAAGGGAATCCTTCATGATGTCACTAAATGTTAGAATTGGCTGGTTGGTGTGTGCTGAACAAAGCTGATTAAGTACAACACCTACTTTATACATGCATGCCTTCATAAAACTGGTTTAAACAGGCAAAGTAACTGACATGTTTATATTTACTGCATGTTTGGGCAGGGTTTAAGCTGAGAGTGACTTCTCAGAGTGAAAATGAAACTTTCACTTTTAGCGGCTGCATTTTCCGCATGCTTTCAAAACTACTTTGATTTTTGTTTTATAGTGTAAAGTATGAACACCACATTGTACACTGCGTACAAGGTTGTACGCAAAAGAATTGCATTCCATAAAGGTGTGTAATTATTTTTAGCCAGTGCTGGGGAAGAATAGAAGGCTAGATTATCAGACTAATAATTCATTTTTGTTGACTTAAACTCAAACATCAAACAGATTCAATTGATTAAAACAGCCTATACAAGGGAAAAGATGTGTCACGAGTTTAAAATTGATCACGTTTAAAAGTTTGCAATGCACCACTACAATTACTGTACTGTCTGCCACCCTATTGTGATATTTTGCCTCAGGTTCTCTGCAGGTCTTTTAAAATACCTTTTTCAATCACTTTCAGTCCGGTCCTTGTCTCTGACCATTTTCAGAGGATTGTCTTTCAATTGTTAAGCAACTTAACACTAATCTAAGAACCATTCAACCATAACATAAGACAGCCTGTCACAAAAAACAAAAAAATAAAACAAAACATAATATGACCCCATTTCTTTAGTTGAATCAATGAAAATTACTGACATGAAGGCAGATGTGAAGGAGCTATTATCTCAAAATGTGCCATATCTTACAAAAAGAAGTGGCGGTATATAAAAATGTATTAATAGCAGATGAACAGTATCTGAAAGTCACGTCTTTAAGGAATAGAAAACAAGCCAGATCCAGACAGGACCTGAGAGATGCATCTGGCCTTTCAGTTGACCCATCTACTGTTTGCTGTGGTCTCATCAGAAATGATCTCAGTGGAAGGGAAACAGGGAGAAATAGCCAAGGTATGTCAAACTGCACAAGAACTTGACTAACTAAAAATCAAAAACAGATCTTAACTACTTGGTTTGAACCAAGAGATCAGGAGAGCGGTACAACAGTCTAGAGGTATCAGTAAAACATAGTGGAGTCTTCTTTTTTTAGCATGACAATGATTTCAAACACACTTCTAATGCAGTAAAGGCATACCTGGAGAGAAAAACACACAAAGCAACACTATCAGCCATGGATTCGTCTCTCTACAGAGTCCAGACCTCAACATTACTGAAGCAGTGTGGGATCTTGGCAGAGAGCAGAATAAAAGGCAGCAACATCCAAAGAAGAGCTTTGAATGTGCTTCAAGAAGCCCCAAGAACTATTCCTGAAGACTACTTAGAGATATAACAAGACAGCTTGTCAAAGAGATTTCAGGCTGTGTTGAATAATAAAGGTGGTCACACCAAATATTAACTTTCAAGTTTGTTAGAAGTGTAAAAACTCTGTTTTTGCATTATATAATGTATTTGCATTATTTTTGCATGCTTCAACAAATCACTGCACCTATTTTTCATTTTCCCGATAAAATATAAAGAAATGAGGGGTGACTCAGCACTTTTTTCTCAGTATTGTAGCTGTATTGTCCACATTGGTAGTTTAACAACTGATTATCTTCCATCTTTATTTTTCTCCTGCCATTATCATGCCCAAACACCGGCTCTACAATGGTGCCCTCTTGAGCCCATTACAGAAACAAAAGCTCTGCTTACCAATAGCGTTTCTTTCTGAGGAGGTCAGGTTTGTTAGTTTGTACGTTGACAAGATTGTTTTAAACACAATTAGCTTTGCCTGCAGCTCAGAAAAGATAAAAGCAAGGACTGATGGCTTGATTTTAAAAACAAAATGACACATCAAAACATCAAATACAAAAAAATGCATCACGGCATTACATCACACTAGCCATTGAAGTGTACGTGTAAACAGACACACACACAGCAATATGTCTTTCCATATAGAGCTGTGTTATATAACAGTATCTCTGGAGTCTCCAATGTGCGGGCTAATGCATAATCAAACAGCCTCAGAGCTCCATTAAATCTACAGGCGTGAAACAACGCTCCCTCAACAATTTCCTAAAATCTTAAAACAAACACACACACACACACACACAAAACAAACAAAACACACACAAGCAAATTCAATTAATTCTTTGTTAAATCAATACATCGACACGCCGCTCAAACAGGCTTAACAGGCCATGTAAGACAAAAACTATTTAGCTGCTCTCTGAATAATATTCGGAGAACAGCACACCCATAAAATGAGCACCTGGGGCAAAACAAACAGGGAGCGTGATGGTAAGGACTGTGTGATGATGTCTTCTGTGTGTGAGTCAACTGGTGTGTCTCTGGCAGAAGAACCACGTTATGTAAGGCAGTGGGAGTGAGGTGTCTAGTGGTATCTATGGGAACAAAGAGGGTGAGGAAAGACAGAGAGCTCAGCTGACTGAGGTTCACCAGTCCAGAGTGTGAGGTCGCACTTTCTGTTGTTCACACATACACGTGTGTGTGTGTGGAGATGGCTGAGCAGTTACTTTCTGGCAGATTTACTTAAACAAATAAAGGGTGGCCATGCTCATCCACACCGTACAACCTTAATTAAGCTTCCAAAAATATATTTTGGAAACTTACAGCAGCATTATACCAGATTAGTCTCTGCCACTCATGTTAAAAGTTGTCTGGAAAAAATAAAAAAAAAGTTGTCATGAGCTCCTTAGATCTGATCTCTGTGACCTGTGAGCGGGATTGAAGGGCCTGTCGACAAATAGACGGTAAAGCTTAAAAGAACTCAGCCATTTACACTAACGTGCCAAAAAACAGAGTCTCAAGTATCATAAAAGGGGTGAAAGAAGGCTTCTCTACAAAACTTGAGAAACCCGATAATAGAGGGCCAAAAATTTTAAAATGATACTCTCACATGGATAGTGGCTGATAGCAAACTCTTTGTTTGAATAGCCAATATTCTCTACAACTAAATGCACAGAAACAAATGCCAATTCTAATTTTAAATAATAAAGTTTCTCTCAAAATGAATTTTTAATGTGGTTTGATGATGCTAAAAGGTAATAAATGCAGGGCTTTTTGCTCCACTACAGTGGTGCTGATGTATAAATCAGTCATGCTACAAAGGCACTTGAAGCCCGAGTGGGGCAGCGCATTATAAAGCACCTCCACGTATTAAACAGCAAGTACAAGAAAATTTAAATCTTAAAAAAAGTTTCAGATTCAAACAATTAAAGAAGGACTTCCTTAAATAAGCTTTGAATCTGTAAGAATAATCACTATCTGTGCAAATGCATTATGCTTATTTAAAAATGAAATCAAATTAGACTGGTGTAGAGGAAACTTATTCCAAAAACACCAGTCTGGATTTCAGGAATTGTACATCTTGAAATCCAGATTGGGAACAAACTTAAAGGGATCGAAGGAACCTCAGAGAAGCACAATACTCTGACACACATGTCAAACTGTGTGTGTGTGTGTGTGTGTGTGTGTGTGTGTGTGTGTGTGTGTGTGTGTGTGTGTTACTTGTAGCGTAAATCCATACCCAGAACAATAGAGTTAACTGGGTCACTCCTACTGCTGCTGCTGACTGGCTGTGCCAAAAAAGCTGGAGTGATGAAGAGGACTATGATTCATGAGAAAGAAAGGGAGTAAGCCTGAGATGTGTGAACAGTGTGAGCAGAACACTTCACCACAGCACAGCACAACACAACACAACAGAAGAGCACAAAACCCCTATTAAATATCAATCAGATTTCAAAACATTTAAAACAGTCAGCAGGGTACTGCTGCCTGCAATGATACATCCTCAAACACTGGCTTCCTCTCACAAAACATCCAAGCTGACTGCTTCTGGACATCTCAGCAATGGGATAATAACAACGGGAGACCACCCGACCTGGACTACACATTGATCCACAGCCCACAACTCTATACGTCTTCTCTCAATGACGAAAAACACCTCATCGGTGAGGGGTCCAAAAGGCCCAGACAGGGTATCAGACGGGCACCGGAACTGAGAGACGTGCGTGTTTTCTCTTCCAGACGTGACACACTTTTTTTTTAATGCTCCCAGATTGTAATCACTGGCAAGTAGCACTGCTGGTATTTACATTAGCTCCCTCGCTGATAGCTAAAGTGTAGCGTAGCCATCATAAAGTGTGATTTACTATGATAGTCGCTGTTTTAGATAAACACTGTTGCTTTAGCTAACCTGCCTCACAAAGCCGCTCGGCATTGTTCGTTGTGTTGGTGGCACCGAGGCAACTAAAGAAGCGAGTTTAGGTTAAGTCACATTCTCCTTTTCTTTCTTTTAATGGCCGACCACTGTAACCGGCTAAGCCTATGGCTAACTCAGCTGCTAAAGAGCTAGTAGAAGCCCCCCGTGGTAGTTAGAGCTATCGATGTTGTATTAAGAAATTGCTCGGTTGCCTTTGTGGTTGACACAGAGCCGTTAAACAGCACCGGGCACAGCACTGGCGAATCATTTAGATTAACTGTACCTTTTCTGCGTCGACCTCGGCCACTACAGGATCATTTCCTAGCACCAGTTCTTTGTTTATGTGATTCGGTGGCTTGTTTTCATCAATCCTCCTCGTCTCTCTCCTCCAGGAGTCGTGCCGCCTCAGCTGACAGCGCTACTGCTCGGGATGTGAGTGCCCCGCCCTTAGCAACCAATCGAACGCCAAGAAGCCGGTAACTGAGGCAAGACAAGCTTCCTATTGGTTAGCAGCTGTGTCCATAAACGTGTCGCTAGGGGCGCACCTTGGACCAAGGGCAGGACACCTGCTATGAAAGGATGCTGAGAACCGCAGGTGAGACCAAATCAAGAGAAGAAAAAGCCGTGGAAAACAACTCCAAAGACACGTTGTAGCAGGATAACAAGCACGTGTATGATACGTAGCTGCACAAACTAATATGGAGGTGAAACAGCTTAATTTTTGTATTGTGATTATCATTACCTTTTTTTCACCAAGAACTCCCACTGAGAACAGCATCTCGTTTACAAAAGAAACCTGGCTAAACTAGAGACCATACAACCTAACACATCTAAACAAAAATTTAAAAAAAGCTAGAAATACAACAAAATGTGCACAATCCTACACATAATGATATGAATATAAAATATGAGTGCTATTGTTATGGCTAAAAATAGTCATAACATAGAAGATTAAAGCATTAAATGACTTCTCAAAAGAAACACCCACAAGTGTCCTTCACTACATTACTTATTATGCTTTTAAATTGAATATATAAATATTACTTCATTTTTCATTTAAATTGATTAGAAATGTTATTTTTTGTATTAAAAATTTATAATTCTTTATTAATATTTATTAATACAAAAAAATCAGCAAGGAGGACAATTTGTATTACCGATAGCAAGTACCAATTCAGTTATAAGAAGTATTTTAGATGGTGCTATTAAGGAATAGAATTTGGTGCCACTGCAGATAGAGAGAAACACTTTTGACTACGGTTAGAAACTGTTAGCATGAGCCTGGATCTGTAAAAGTTATATCAGGTATAATTTGTGCTGTGAGAAGCTGTTTTTTGTTGTTTGTTTGTGTGTGTGTATGTTTAACAGCAAACTATTAAAATGTAAGGATTTGTGACCCCAGGAATAAATGTGCTGCACTGCTTCAGCTAATAGGAATCTTGAGAAAATAAACTGAAGATAGAAGGATGTTTAAATGTAGGTCTGTTTTGTAAATTATCCCATGTCCAAAGTGACAAAGTAACCATTTAGAGAAGTGTAGCTGGTAGCTATTGGTATGTGGACAGAGAGGGATACAGAGCTAAACTGGAAGTTTAGCTAGAATGGTTTTATAGAGGAAAACAATGCCAGCACTGTTTTTTGGTAATCAAGGTTTTCAGTCATGTTCATTTTATAATAGGGAAATATTCATCTCCGTGTGTATGTAAATAAACATACATAAAGTACACCACTGCTTATTTGCGCTGTCTTCCTTTCAGGTTACAGAAAGCCTTAAAGAATGACCTACTACTGCTCATACAAAAAAGCCAAAAATATATGAATGTGCTTCATGTTAGTTCATGTCTTTTTATTGTTATTTAATTTAAGAAAAACCAATATAGAGCCTGACACCAACAAACACCATCAAAAAGCACACAACTCACACCGAGAGGATGCGTACCGAATTTTATATACTAAACAAACATATGCAGATCAATACAGCATAACAGGAAATAAGGGCCTTGTTAGGATTCCATTGCTTGGCATATTAATGAGAAATGTATGCAAGTATTAAACAGCCATTTTTATTTATCTGTCCAGCTTTCC